CAAAGGGATTTTTGTTTTGCCCCCTCCCCCCCCCCCTTCGTGGCAGCCAGAGAGGTGCGGCTAAGTTTGGCCAAACATCAAGCATTCATCACCGAAGAACGCTGCTTTGTTTGGTGTTGACGCTTGTTTTCTAGTCTCCCAAGCCTGATGTGCCTCGAGGCAGGCTGAGGCACAGAAACACCCGAACGCCTGGCCGTGTCACATTGCCCATGCACGTCAGTCACCTCAACCTGCTTGTCAGCCCTGAGCGGGGGAGCAGCAGACATATTGCCACCTATTTACACTTCATGATATACGATGATGCTCTGCCTCCTTGCCTCTATCACCCAGTGAAATTACGAGATCACTTGGAGCAGCGTGGATGTTTTGGGTTTCTTAACAACAGTTTGACTCTGGCTTTGTGCCTTTGTGTGTCTGCAAGAACTTGGTCATTTGTCCCCATAAAGTAGCTCTTCAGATCATCTACACATCAACTAGCACTATTTTTTTAGGCTATAATAAAACAATCAAGCCTGATAGTGAGTGAAACAACAGCCTTCACACTGTACATGGCAACCTGTTCAGACTGTGCATGGCAGCCTGCCCATATTACTGTCTGCTGCTGCTGATTCCCCTCATGAGCTGATCTTTCAGAGCTAGCTGTCCTGTGGGAAAGCAGTAAGAGGAAACATTTAAAAGTCCTGCGCTGGAAACACTCCACCACACACACCTGACAGCTGAGGGTTTCTTGGGGCTGTGGGTCAGCACAGTGTGACTCCCAGCTCCACAGGAGGGCCACAACCACAGCCATCCAGCTGCTCAGTCATCAACACCTAGTGCTCTCTCCCAGTATTTATTCTCAAGTCTCTTCATGACCATGCCAGAAGAAACTAGAGGTCTCGCCTTCTGTCATTACACACTGCTTTCCAAATGTATCTTCTGGTGCTGACCAAAACCAAACAGATAAGCTTGAGGGCATGGAAGTCCATTGCCCCTGCAAGAGGTCTCTATGACTTCTCCTAATGATATATTAGGATTGTGAAAGCCTCACTCCTGGCCTTCACTCCTCATACAGTCTGTCACTTGGAACAAAGCGGGACTTGCCCATTTCCCAGAAACTTCTCTACAGTTTTCTGTTCTGTCAGATCAGTCCCTTGGCACAGTGATTTCTAGCATCAATGACCTTCCTAAAATTTTCCCAAAATAAAGCTTTATTGATTGTGTATCTTATCAGTATGCATTTAAACTCAGACTCTTCTTTAAGCTATTTTTATAAGGAAGTTGTGCACATTGTGCACTAGTGATAAGACTTCAAACTCGGCACTTCTTCACTTTATCCACTCTTTCCAGCATTCCCCAGGGCACCCACTTCCTGCAGCGTTTCTGCCAGCCATTAATCTATCTGTGAGTACAGACAACACGAAATGTTCCAGGCCCTCACCGAAAGGTATTTGGCAATGCCTGTCCACTTCCAGACACATATGGAAGCCTCTACCCAGCAGCACCAGTTTAGTTCATAAGTTTTGAAAACTGGATGAAATGCTCTGGTATAAGGTTTTTATTCCAGTCACTCATTCTATCATAACAAGAGAAGCTCTGCTATTACCTTTCAAACCAAATATAGATTAAATTCAAGCTGCTATTCATTTTACCTATTTTTATTACAAAGTAGGAAGCAACACATTTCTGGTACTTTACATTTACTAGAGCCGAAAAAGAAATGGTAAACTGACAAACATGGTAACTGACCCAGACAAAACATTAATGAGACAAGACAAACAACTACAGTACATCAGCAGATTCTCCATGCGGCAGTCTCTACAATCCATCCACCTGAAGTAACAGATATCAGTGAGCCCCTGTGGACAAACTGTTGCTGTGGCAGCTGCTGGAGATTGACCAGAGCTGACAGCAATTCCTGCTCAGATGCTGTTCTTCTAAGAGCACTCCCAAAGGGAGTGTTTACCATTTAATTTTCCCCAATTAGCCCAGCCCTTGAATATGAAACACTTACTTAGGATCTAATACAGGCAGTCTAATGCTGATGCTAATTGCAGGGAAAGACGCCCTTGGCATTTCCTACCCAGATCTTGGCTTCTGGCATCTCGCGCAGGCTGGACATGTTAGGACATAAGTTGCGTTCTAGTGCAAGATTCAAACTTTGTTATTTGGATTATAAAAAAGTAACAACAAAAACATCTTTATTTTCCCTTCTGTTGTTACAAGGTCCTGAATGCCTTCCTTTCTTCTGATTCCTTCAGGCACTGGTTCCTAACAGCCAAATACTATTAAGATGCAGAGTGCAGAGGAATTTATTTATAGATACTTAAATTCTTTCTTAATCAGCGCACAATCATCCTACAGTCTAATCAATGCATTCCACAGCAAGAGAGATCCATTTATGCCGCAGAATTTTTCTTTCACTGCACTAATGACCTCCCGGAAATGGTAAATGATTTTCCTCAAATAACCACAGCCAAGTGTATATAAATAGATAAACAGCTGTATAAACACTTTGGCTTCACTTTGTATAACCAACAGTTTAATAACCAGTGCGGAGAATTACATAGCTGTTAATTCACAGTGGGTGAACATCACAATTTGGTTTCAGGTTTCCCTTAGAGCTAAAATTAAATTGTCAAAGTCAGTAGATTTAATCTACTCCAAAATGTCAGCCATTATGCCCCTGGGGGAGTTGAACACTATTCAAATCTGCACAGGGAAAACATCCATCTAAACCTGGGTGAAAATAGACTAGTGCAGAAGCTAGCCCTCTTGTTAAACACTGAATAAAATTCATTAAATCACGCAGCCAACGTATGAGTAGGCATTTATGCTGTCCAATTGCTAGCCCCCTTGACAGCTACAGATCTTTCTGTCCAGAGATTGAGACGGACAAAGTCTGTCAATTTTATAGGAAATCCAGCTGTCCTCTTGACTCATGTTGCATTTATATGCTTGTGGTCCCTCATCACAAAGCTTGCCTTTCCCTTATCTGCAAAATCTCAGTTACAACTACATTTCCACATTTCTAGAGTGACACCTGAAAATTTTCCTTGATATGAGAAAATTACATTTCAAATTTTGAATTTACAGTAAAATCCCATCCATGCAAAGTCTGGTTTACAAGAAAGCACAGTAATACAGCACCTGATAGCAGGGCAGCAGGGCTTACTCTCCCACAGAGAGGGAAGGTTTTCCCAGTCTCCCTTTGAAAATATGCAGATCTTTACATGTCGAAAACAGAGTTTTGGTTTTTTTACCTCTTGTGGCCACATCTTACAGCATCTTACACGGAAGCATTGGTATGTACAGTGAAAATCAAAGCTATTCACAATAACAATAAGCTTACATGGCCCTTCAGGAACAATCCTATCCCCAGACATGCTGCTTGCATTTTGCTTTAAGGAAAGAGTCTATTATGTCATAAAACACACGCCTATATGTATACATACATAGAACTGCAGCATCAGAAAAGATCAGTCGCACAGTACTTCAAAGGCAGGGTCAGCTAAAGACAACTGCAATGCATGGGAACTTTGAAATACAAAGTTAAAGATTTTCCAAAGCTACTCTTTAAAGAAGTAGTGACTGTAGCAGTACTACAAAGGGAAAAACCTCTGCAGAATTTGCCAAATGAGAAAAAGCTTTCTCAGAAGGAAACAGCAGCACCCCTGAGCTCCTGTGTGAAATTCACATGCTTTCATTGCCAGTGCTTACAACCAATGTAAACAGACTCTTCTTTAAGATGCAAAACCAGAAAAACATTAAATTCTTTTCCCTAGCAACTCAAATACTGTCCCAGTACAAGCACTGCATTTATTCCCTGAACAGTACTTTACGTTTGATAGAATAATCTTAAAAACGTTTCTAAAAATCAGCATAGGTTCTTTGAGCACTGAGTAGGTTCACATTTTTACAGAAAACATCTACTGCATCTCATTCTATCTCAGCATCATTGAGCTGACTGAACTGTGTTCATTCTTCGGTACTCCACTAGCTCTTTGAGAAAATGCTCTGCCCCCACCTTACCCTTTGATGTACCATTAGAAACACCAAGACTAGAAAAAAATGCAGTTGTATTGCTTAGAAGACAATAGAAAGGCTTGAATCCTATCAACATAACAAAAAATGCTAAAGCAGCTTTCAATGCATTGAGTTTGAGGTAGATCAACTTTCGTTCCCGTTAAACACGAAGTCTGACGGATGATTTCACAAAACTGTTACAAAATTCTACTATGTTACAGCTTACACACCACAAATGCATAAAGCTTCTAGACATGAAATTTAAGTGTTTGAAGGAGTGTGCTTTCCTCTTGGCAGCTCCCTTCTCCGCTCTACGCTTCAGGTGCAGAATAGAAAGATAATCACAGCTACAAGATAAAGATTCAGCAAGAAATCAGATTATATTCAGATTCACACTTTGAGCCCATAACCAACCAATGCTTCCTGGACTTGATTTGGAGATCTGCAATAGAGAGTCGTGGCCAACTCCATCGGGTCGCATTTCTGTACTTCCATAGTCAGTCAGCAGTACAAGGCTGTACCTACTGCCAAATTAGGTACAGTTAAAGAGTTGTCAAATCCTCTAACATCATATTAAAAAATAACAGGCATTTAACAGTTTCTAAAATGCCTTGCAAGACTAAGAGCATTAA